TTGTTCAGCTTGAGCAACTCCAGAGATCGAGAGCCATAAGTCTGAAACTGTACCTGTAGCGTTGACAAGTGCTTTGGCCGTCTGTCCATTTCCATCCGAAGAAGACCGACGCCGATGGCGCCAGATGAGACAATAACCACCCTATGGCCATCTTTTCTCAACTTCACAGCCGTCTCAACGATGAGGCTCAGGATGGAGAGCAAGGGCTGATGTGTCTTCTCGTCCACGATAGAGCTGGTGCCTGTGCAATGAGTTAGTATGGATCATTTGAAGGATACAGCACTTTTGAAAGACTCACCAAGCTTCAGCACCACCGTCAGAGGTTTCCGGCCCTCACGGTGCTTCATGTCTGCAGATAGTGGTATCTCAAGTCAGTCAAACAAATCTCACTGTATCATCCGAATCTTTCCCCAAGATGAGAGATAACGACATGAACTAATAAGTATAAATAAGGTAGTGTCAAGAACGGGACGGCTACGATCAACGCAAGGAGACGTCCAAACAAATGGCACCAGGCGCATTACGTAGGAGGGGAGAAAAAATAACTGGATCCCTTTCTTACACGTAGGACCACCCGCTTCCGCCATTGCCAGAGTCAGAGCCTACGACCGTTGCTTCGAGTTGGTTAATTGTGGGACGAGAAAAAGGATCCGCTTGGTTCTGATGTGGTGGTGATGGGTGCAAGGCCCCTGGTCGGTATACCACGCCCTTTCGTTGTCTTTTGACTTGCCGGTCGTGTGTACCTTTTTTTCCTCTTTCGCTGAACCTATGACTGGGCCGGCGTGGGAGTGTAAAAAAAACTGGCCCGACATCGGGATCGTCCGGTGTAAAGGAAAGGCGGGAGAACGCTCGGGAGTTGGCTGTAAAAGACACCTGTGATTGGGCGATGGCCTGGCCCTAAAATCCGGGGTGGATGCCGTAGTGTACCGGGCATCTTCACCGTTGGTCTTGATGGCCCGGTCCAGTTGTTGCCATAATCCCTGCTAACCACAAACCCATCCGTGGTATTCCCATCATGTCTCAAATAAGAGATAGTGAGTTGAATTGCCAGTCATATCGTTTCCACGTTGTGTAGCATACCGAGTGAAAAGGGCGCGCCCTCGGTAGATCTGCGGTCTGCCCGTTACGACAAGCGGCAAGGTGCTAAGACACCGGACTTATGGTTCAAGAGGGTTAGGTAGAAGTCGTTTGCGAAAATGATGAAATGATATCTTCAGCGAAGATACAATCTATGAAATAACGTGACAGGAATGTAGCGCTGTCTCGATTCCGAAAGGAATGATGGGATGGCGGAGTGTCACAGGTGTCTTTGCGCTGTGTCCATGGATCGGTACCTTTAGTCAGGTTACCAGGTACCACCGTCACATTGAGAGGCTTATCGATAACGGCCAAAAATTCCCGATCTTCCAGCAACGACCTCCATCCTTGGCCAGCCACCACTCCATCCTGATGTACTGAACGCCCATAATCAGCGACGAATCTCGAAGCGCAATTGCACCCTCAACCGCACGACGCCCAAAATGACGATCCTCGACGACAAACAAGCGGCGGCACTGGCCCCCTCAGCCACCTCGACAATGACCCCTTCTCCAGCAACATCATCATCACCACCCGCACAACAACAGCAGCAGAAACAACCACCGCGCGAGCTCACCAACGACCCCGCCCGCACCGGCTTCGACCCGCAGACAAAGTGGTGGATGAACTACTTCAACATCCTCACGGGCCGCATGACAGCCGAAGGCGCCTTCCACTACCGCGAAGCCCGGTATCGCGCCAACGAGGAGCGCGACTGCAAGCGCTGCGAGGAGCACCGCGACTGGCTCCTCGCCTTCTCCCCGACCGTGCGCTTCCTCAACGAAAAGATCGCCGGCCTCAACGGCACCCTCGACGCGTCCAACATCCAGTGCCGCCGGTGCCCCGCGCGCCTGACCGAGGACGGCGAGGTCCACCGCCAGTCGGGCGGCTTCAGCCCCGCCCACGGCATCATGATCTGCGCCAACGAGGTCAGGGACCGGAAGCACCTGGAGGACACGCTCTCGCACGAGATGGTCCACGCGTGGGATCACCTGCGGTGGAAGGTGGATTGGATGGGGGATCTGGACTTGAAGCATGCGGCCTGCACAGAGGTAAGGTTTCCTGCGTCCTGCGCCGGCTGATCCTGAGCACAGGCGGAGAGAGGCGGAGAAACAGAACTAACGGGACGGCAGATTCGAGCATCTACGCTCAGCGGTGAGTGCAGATGGACAAGAGAGGCCTTTACAAGAGGCAACTGGAGCCTGTCTCAGCAGTTCCAGGACTGCGTGCGGAAGCGCGCGATACAGTCCGTCCTTAACCGCCCCAGGTGCAAGGACGATGTGCAGGCGACCAAGGTGGTGAACCAGGTCTGGGAGTCCTGCTTCAGCGATACGCGGCCCTTTGACGAGGTCTACAGGTGATGGATGATGACAGGATCGGGCTCGTTCACAGACGAGCGTGTGTAAATAATACCCCCCTTTACTGATGTACTATTTCTACCTACTCTCACGGAACCAACACCGGCAAATATAGCAAAATGTTTGGATGATGACTATGCTTCTCTGGGTTTCTTGATACTCTGAAAACGACGGACATTAAGAACACTAACTCCCGTACATGCAATTGGAAACACCTTTTCCACTCCGAAAAACCCCAAGCTGTAGATCAGAGCCCGCCTGAATACCGCAAAGAAGAAAACGCCGGTAATCCTACAAGGGCCGTTATGCCTTGATGGTATGTATGCATGAATCATAAGGGTCATTAATTAGGAGCTCTTCTCACGGTTGGCGGCTCTCTCGCCCTTCACACAGTGCTTGACGATCCACGGATGGGTTTGGACCTGCTCCAGGGGTATTCTCTTCTCGGGGTCGAGAACAAGCAACTGGAGATGATATTAGCATTCGCTTTTGTAGATCATGAATTTGGATAAATGCCGCCTCACCTTCTTGATCAAGTCCTTGGCCTCGGGACTGACAAAGGACGGAACCGTCATGTCAGCCCGAGCTATCCTCCGCTGCGTCATCACGGGCGTATCCTCGAACGGTGCCTCGCCAACGAGGAACTCGTACGTCAAGACACCCAAACTCCAGAGATCAACCTTCTCGTTGTAGTAGTTGTCCGAGCTACCGGGCTTGATCATTTCTGGGGGCAGGTAGTCGAGGGTACCGCACATGGTGTTGCGACGGTTGTTGGGGGCGTGGACGCTCCAGCCGAAATCGGAAATCTTGATCTCGCCGTGGATGCCCATGAGGATGTTCTCGGGCTTGATGTCACGGTGAATGACGTGCTTGCGGTGCAGGTAGCGCAGCGCCGAAGCCATCTGGGCAATGTACTGCGCCGACTTCCACTCGGGGAACCTGCTCTCCTTACGCAGGTGCTTGTACAGCTCGCCCTTGCCGGCGAACTCGAGGATGAGGAAGACGCGCTTGCTGTCGTGGAAGTGGCCGTACAGCTGGAGGATATTGGGGTGGCGCAGGTTACTCTGGATCTCGATCTCGCGGCGGACCTGCTTCTCGACGCGGCCCTGTTGGAGTTCGTTCTTGTGCAGGACCTTGAGGGCGCAGATGAAGCCGCTCGTGCGCTCCCTCGCGAGGTACACGCGGCCAAACTTGCCCTTGCCCAGGGGCCGGCCAATCTCAAACATGCCGAGGTGGAAGACCTTGGGCATCGAGGGCTCGAGTACGATGGAGACGCCGGACTTGCGCTCGATCTCGACAATCTCGTCGGACGTTCTCGAGGAGCTGGACGGCAGGGGTTTTCTGGCGGGCGATGCCGGGTTCTTGGCCTGTCGTTGTGCGTTTTGCGATGGCAGCGTTACCGAGGCGACGGCGTTGGTGCTCTGGGATTGGAGGGCGACCTTGATGAGGTTCGGTCTGCTCGAGCTCTGGGAGAGCTGTGATGTCTTCACCAAAGTCTATGGGACAATTATCAGCCATGATATCACACGGCAAGTGTACATGTGTCGACGAGACCAACCTGAGTCTTGGAGTAGAGCTTGCCGCCGTCGACAGGCTCGTTCTCGTCGTTTACCGACATGCGCTCAAAGCGCGATTCCAACGTCCGAGTCGCCATCTTGCTATGTAATGGTGGATGGAGATGTAGCAAGTCGAATGTTCCCTGTTGGTTAGAAAGAGTGCACTGGAGGGTTTTTGATCAAGGAACCTGGAGTTGGTTGTCAGGTTATTAAGAAAGGTTCTCGGGTAACGATGGACGAGCTAGGTGTGGGAAGCTAAACAACGGGGGTGAGGATGGTTGCCAGGGGAACGACGGCGCCAGCGCCAGGGCAGCGACCCGCCCCGCTCTTTCAGATCTCCCCCACTTCCCACTCCCTGGGCGACCGACCGCCTCAACTTTGCTAGCCGCTGTCAGCTTGGTCTGACATGGTCATACTTTCCAAGATCTGTGTTGGCTAGACCGTGTCTTCTCGATTGACTCGCTTCTTTCATTCAAGTTTCACACCGTGCACGTGACTCTCAGCCGACTAGATTGAGCCGTGTTGTTTTCGAGAGGCCGACCATGATCAGATGCAACAACGACATGCCCTACGAACGGAGTCTACGAACTCAACTTCCTTCACCGTGGTCGCTGTTCAAGATTCAGATCGCTGGGGTGCTTTCTTCTCGAGCAAGGCCTCGGAGTGAACGTTACTGGTATCAGATCACCTCTGGATATAGGAACAAAATCCACTACGTATGAACGACGTCTGAATATCAAAGAAAAGCAACTGAAGCGCAAAGAATAGAATGTGCGCAATTAATATAGGTCGATTACAACTGGCTATAGTCCAAAAACATTATCTGGACCTTTGCTCCTGAGTAACCCCCACCTCGTGTAATCTAGACCACCTGAATATGAAGTAATCTTCCAAGCAGAACTCCTTCAAACACTTCTCTATACATATACACATCCCGCTTCGACTGAAGACATACCAGCTGCGGCTTGCTCGGCCTAGGCATTGCATCTTCAAGCTTCAAGTGTCGCATCTAACAGGCACGGAGCCTATCGACCCCAGCATGTGCTGACCTGGACCATTGGTTGGGGACCGGCCTGACCGGCTGGTCCCGATGCCGAATCCAATCAGATTTGTTGTCGCCCTTGCCGGGCCCAATGTGTCCCGAAGCTCTAGTATACGTTGTCCGCTCTTGTCTCCCCTTCTCAGCCAAGGATTCCTCCAACAACTCGGCCGAGGGCGGAGGTGGCGACTGCCTCAATTTGAGGAATTCTCTCAGTTGTGAAGGACTAGCGTAATGGTGCAAATGCTCCTCGATGTGCCGGTACGCAGTAAAAGCAGCGCGCCGTCGGACGTCCCACTCCATAGCGTTCATGTTGCCGCAGGCCAAGAGGTATCTCCCCATGGCCGTATCAGCTCGCTGGACGGCTCTCTTGAGCTGGTTGAACTGTTCTTTTCCGATATCGCGTCTGATCCCAAAGAACATATTGAGTAGGGCTGACCCGTATAGCCACTTACAAGATATCAAGCCCGCGAGAGTTGAATAACTTGTACAGTATAGGGCCTCCAGATCTGCCTTTTCGAGCACGCCGTATCCCAAGAGCAATATGTCCACATCGACTTGACCCCACATTCTCTCGAGTTTTGCGTTCTCGTGCCTCAGGCCTCCTTTGCGCAGAGAGAAGAATAGCCAGGCACATCGCCAGTGGAGGTAAATGAACCAGGAGTTGCTTAACCTGGACTCTGGAGGATCATTTCTGTAAGCATCGGTCACTGTAGATTGGAATTCTTCTTGCCAGCCTGGAGCCGCCAGGTATCCCACAGCTGATGGAAGGCCAAGTTGAAGCCATTCCTGGTCCGCTTCATGTGATGTTTCCGGCAACGCCTTGAGTTCTTCCCGGGTCTCTATGTAGTCGTAAGTGCGCATGGTGAGGCAGCTGCCATCTCCGTTACCAGGACAAACCTGTGGAGAGATACGGAGATGGATAGTCCCTAGATACGCTTCCAAGGATGGAGGTGGGAGGCTTGAAGGAAGAGGATATCGATCCTTGTTTCTCTCTAGTCTTCCAAGCCATTCTCGTGGTACCAGAACTTTGAGGACTCGTCCACATCTGTCGCACAGGGCGTGCATATTGACGCTGGCGCTGGGTCCTAACTCCGCGATCATTGCTCGGAATGTGTCCAAAGGAGAGAGACGGTTGTCGGATAACCCACGATCGCGGCTCAACGGCCTTTGCCGCAGCGCCGTAGTAACAACCATCGTGGTTGGAGCAGCGCTGCGACATAAGCCGAGGCTGTTGAACCGCGATCGGGGAGTTTGGGGTCGATCCCAATGTCGGTTTTGAGAGCAGGCCATGTTTCAAAATTCCCAACCTACTGGTTTTCAGTAAAGCTGTTGTGGTCTACCTTATATAGTATCGGTCGTGAATACAAGAAAGGTGAAAGATGAAGATGAACCGCTTAGGCTATTGGCTAGGGAAGGCATCTTAATGCTTGATATGTCACTCTACTGATCTATCGGAGAAACCCATACTCATGGGGAAGGGTGCCGCGCACGGCAGAGCAAGTAATTAGCGCCTCCGACATTGAAATCGCCTATCACTTCTCTAATGGAGACAAATTTGAATGTTGCAAATCTAGCCATCTCTGAAGGGATCAACAGGTTAGCTCTACTAATCCACCGGAAAAAGTTACCTGATGAATCTCAGCTAACGAACTAAAGCTGTAACTCAGGTCTCAATTACATCTCTAAATTCCGGCCATTGTAAACTCCCCACGATCGCTTGGTATAGAAAGGGGGGTGTCTGCTGGCTGGGTGGCCCTTTCTCTCATTGCGTAGGCCACAAGATCTCTGCTGGAATTGATGCTCTAATTTAGGAAGGCCGCTCTGCTGGCACAGTGGGCGAGGACATCAGAGGACGCACCTACCGTCAAATCAACATAAATATTGCATTATGTACCTTACGTGAGCGAGAGCTATTTGGGGGGCTACTAACGACCAAATCAAACAATGTTTAGCCAAGAACGCCTGGGTCTGACGCCTTTCTCAAGAAATAATTTCCTAGGATTAAACTTGAGAGCCAAGCAGTGGTAGGATTGCTCATTATCAGTTGTCTTAATAAAGGTAAGTAGGATTGCCAGCCGATGCCAATTCTTTCCGCACATTCATCCATACATTCCGTCTGCGCTCAATGAAATGATAAAGTCAACATGATCGTTAACTTTGCGGCAGATAGCGATGATAACTTGTGACATGCTGGGTACACTTTTAGCTGGAGGTTACTACACCAGCAATGGTGAATGGCCTCGCATTTCCCGAGGGTGGTTCATCCCTACATCCCAGGACGATAGACTAGAATGCCGAATTCAGTAATGAGGTATTTCCGCAGCGACGAAAAATGTTATATACTCGAATGGTTCTCACCCGACAGTTGCCCGTCTTTCCCTCGTTATTCACTTATTATTCACCTGCCTGGATCTTAAAGGTTGAAAATGACTATTTGAGGCTTAAGAGTCTCGAAGTCAAAAAACCATTGAAATAGCCTCTTGCATTTCTCAACGGATTGACGGCGGAATGACGCCTGGGTGGTCTACTGGTCAATAAAACATTCTGGAGTTCATCTTTCTCGTTGTATTGCGGGCTAACGAAGGATATCGGTAAACAGGTGAGGTCTACTCTCTCAAATTCCACCTTGAAATATCTATCGAACACATGATCCCTTCACTAAAATAACCAAGGACACTAACGCTAGGTCTTGGGTATCCCACTGGGTGTTGACTCAAGGGAAGGTTCACGGTAAAGGTGGTGCAGCTTCGCCAAAAGCTCCCAGGGTTGCTCGCACCCATAGATAGTGGAGATACGTACCCAGATCTCATCTGATCACGAGAAGGCCTCATATACCCCCTCGACTCCATTCCTGTCACCAGCACAGCATCCGCCCTCTAGGTCGAGGGTCAGGTCAAACTGTGGCGTGGTGGTGGAACGGTTAATGGTCAACAATCAATTTCTACACCAACCAGCCTACTCGACGACAGGCTTAGCGAGTACCCGAGTTCGAATCCCAGCATGAGCACTAAGAGATGTAGCCCCCAATCGGCACCGGAGGGGTGAACTCTTTTGTATTTTTGATTAAGTCGATATATGCTCAATCGGTCTCGGTGTAAGTCGGTGAGTAACGAGTGACGTCTGGCCCCTCTTCCTCACCGAGACAAGCAGGGATCCGGGTCTCGAGACTCCTTCGTGTTCCCCGCCAACCCCACCATCACCACCTCTCTCCTCCCCCAACTGAACGAGAGCTCCAACTGCAAGCCAGCAACCTTACCTCCGATCCGAGCTGCACAACCTCCAACCCCCAACCTTTCGCAAAGCTCTTCATCCATCCGCACCACCAACACTCACCTGCGCGCGAACATCTCAAGTCTCCTTCCAAACTGAACACAATCAACAACAGAAAAGGATCAGAAGAGAAACAAGTCGCCCAAGATGAACCACATAACCAACCCAAACGAACCCTTCCCAACCCCCTCCACCCTCGCCGCCGCAACGACAACCCACACCCAGCGCAACTTCCGCGTCGCCTCCCGCAAGCTCCCCATCTCCAAAGCCGGCCCCATCGACGACATGACGGCCTCCCTCGGCATCCCCGTCCCTGAAATGATATTTGGCGACAACCTCGTCTCCGTGTCCCACGTGCCGACGGGCTGGTCCATCGCCTTCAACGCCTACGACGCGCTCGACGCCGTCGACAAGACGGACAAGAAGATGCTGCAGGTCGCCTACGCGCGCGACTGGTCGTCCTCGCGCGAGAAGACGAGCGCGGGCATCAAGGAGGTCGTGAAGCCGTACGACTGGTCCTACTCGACCGAGTACCGGGGGACATTGGAGGAGCCCGGAGCAGGCAGTGCGACGGGTACGGGTGCGGGTGCGCAGCAGGAAGAGGGGGGAAACAAGAACAAACTCGAGGAGACGACGACGAGAATGATCCCCCTCGAGCTCCTCAAACGCCGCGACCCGATCCTCTTCTTCGACGACGTGGTGCTCTTTGAGAGCGAGCTCGACGACAACGGCATCTCGATTGTCAGCGCTAAGGTCCGTGTGCACGAGAAGCGCATGCTGCTGCTGTGCAGGCTCTTCATGCGCCTCGACAATGTGATCGTGCGGATCCGGGACACGAGGGTGTACGTCGACTTTGAGACGGACGAGGTCATTCGGGAGTACACGGCCAAGGAGGATAGCTTTGACAGCGTCAAGCGGGTGAGTCTCTTTTCTTCGTATTCCTCCTTTTTCTTTTGTTCTCTCTTTATCATGCCAGAGACTATGCCATGTAATCTCCTCGACTTGGAACCAGCAATACTAACGAAGAACCCCGCAAAGTCGCTATTCATGGAGGGCAGGTTGCCAGATGACATTGTCATCGCGCTGCGTGATCCAAACTTACTCTACAACCTGCTGCCGACTGTGGAGCAGACGGTACAGAGCGTATTTCTCAAGAAGTAAAGACAGATTTCTCAATCCTTCGCGTATTGCGTGCTTCATAGGAATATCCCTTCTTGCGAGGGGGACGGCTGGCGTTATGGGTCAAGGAAAGGCGTTTCGGACGAGCTAGGGAAAAGTTTTACGGCATTGTAGGTAAATCACATTTGCCCCGAGAAGATCGAATGACCACTTCTTGTGAACAAAAAGTGAATTAAGCTCTGTTTCTGTCACTTGGCTGCAGTCTCTCTTGAGAAGTTGTACATAATGAACCGCATCGACGACAAACTGTCAACAAGGTATGGATAACAACGCAGCGTTTACGCTAGAGCCCAACATCAGCTAAACCACGGACGAGAACATCCCGATCCAATCGGCACAAGACCTCGCAGGCTTCATCAATATAAACATGCGCAAAAAAAAGTCCCACCCTATCCCTCAGAAACACCATGCCTTCCATTTTGTTCCACCAGCCCAGCAATCCGTCAAAGTAAGGTATATTGAACACAATTTTGCCTCTCCTCTCTCTTCCTACCGCGCATCTCGATTGGGCGAAGACCCCTCTGTCATTTCTTCAAACTCGAGCTGCCAGCGGTCGACTTCCCTAAACTTGCGTGTTGCCTTCTTCAGCTCGTCGGCACTCCGCGCGGGGTCGCTGCTCTCTTGGCTCTCGAGAACGTCATCCCGAACGGGAGCAAAGCTGTCACCCTCGAGTCCCGCTTCAGGTTCCGCTCCAGTCTCCGCCTCTGCTTCGCCCTCAACCTCGCCCTCGCCCTCGTTCTCCTTGTCCGAGAGTCTGCGGCTGTAAGTGCGCGTTGACGCACGAGTACTAGGTGCCGCTGGTTTCGCCTTCCCTGCCGCCGCAGTGGCTCGACCACCACGGGATGGTGGCCTATTAGCTGTGCTACGGTTGAGAGGTGTTGTCTTTGCCCGCCGTGAGCGAGCCCTTGTATCCGCGTATGAAAGCTCGTCGTCATCCTGGGAGACGTCAGAGTTGCGTGCCTCCTCATCCT